TTGTAAGTTATGAGTTTGTTATTTCTATGCATATAAAAAGTTCATATGCTTTATGTATGCGTGTGTGTGCGCACGTGTGTGTGTACAGTCCTTGCCAGGCAGTGCGTTTTCTTGTCACTAATTTGTATATGAAGACACTCAGTTGTATGTTCTAATTGGAAAAAACAGATCTGAGGTTAATAAGTGTAAGACAGTGTCTTCCCCCCACTTTTTTATTTATAAAGGTGAATCAGTCATCTTCAGTTTCATGTTTTACTGGATACTAGTAGAAACTCATCCTAAACATCAACAGCAAAAATAACCTCCCAACCCCAAATAGCTCAGACCTTCCTTTAAGTGAACTTTGTTCCTATGAGAACTAGCATGTTGCTCTCCAGCAAAATTTATGCAAATTATTCATGTTGATCCCTGTAAAAAATAATTTCAACAGGGCCAGGGATTTAGCTCAGTGGTTCCACCGCCTGCCTCACAAGTGCAAGGACCCAAGTTCGATCCCCGGTACCAAAACAATAATGGATGATGATGTCTCTCCAGCAAAATTTATGCAAATTATTCATGTTGATCCCTGTAAAAAATAATTTCAACAGGGCCAGGGATTTAGCTCAGTGGTTCCACCGCCTGCCTCACAAGTGCAAGGACCCAAGTTCGATCCCCGGTACCAAAACAATAATGATGATGATGATGAAGATGATGATGATGATGATGATTTTAACAATGAATTCCTTATAGAAACTTCATTTCTTGTCTCCTTTCTGTGTCAAAAGAAAAGACTTTCTGAGGACAAGCTATGGCGATCTGTAGACTGTCATCCTTGCAAAAGCCTGAGGAAAAGAGGAGCCAAGGAGAACCAGTTTCCCCCAACCTTTATGCCTTTTAAAAGACTATGTAGGATTTCTCCCTATTCACAGAGAAGGGCCTCTCATGCCACCCCCAGCCCTCCTCTCCACTGGGGACCAGTAAAGCAGAGATAAAAATCTTCATCTTCAGAGAGAGCCTGAATGCTGTGCGGGACCGAGAGGGCTGAGCTCTAATATATTCAAGAAGACCTAAGGGTTTACTTTCCAGTAAGGATGGAAAAAAATCTAAGCACCCCACTGTGAGCTTATCGTAATGCTGTTTCATATAAAAAGTTGGTAATTAGTCCCTGAGTGAATAAAGTAGAATAGATGATAAGAGACTAATACTTCAAATTTTAAAGGCGGTAGAGAAAGGATTGGGGATGCCGCTGTCTATTTACATACAGTTTCCAACCCAGAATTTGTAATGCTAGAGCTCGTTAGCTAGTTTTCTCAATTGTGTTAACATGATGCTTACCTGCTTTTCAGAGGGGTGTGCAGAGTGCTAAATACAAGAGATCTTTCAAATGTACCTACCAACTACTTATCGTTCATTACTTAGCGTGGGGCTTACGTTGGAGGAGGGGTGATTCCGGAAAGAATGGTAGCGATTTCAAATTTCTATTTAAATTGATTTCATCTTCAAATATTCATGACAGGGTTTCAGTTTACTTCAACTGAAAATTAACTCCCGGTATGCTATGAGGACATACTCAGATTCCTAGACCCTTCCTAAAAAGGAAACAAAGAAAATCCCAAATCTGTGCTCCTCAAAGCTAATGCTGGTGTTTGGTACTTCTACATTCCTCTCAGGGCCCCGTGAGCCCTCTGTGTTTCGACTGTAAAACCAAGGTTCTCAGTGAGACCTAGAGACTCAGACCACTTGGGGTCCCAGGGACAGGCTCCAGTCCCGGCGAGGACGCTGGTAATCTTCCCCCAGCAGCGCAAACCAGGGAAGAGTCCTCATCTGCAAAGCGGGAAACTCAAGAGAGACTCCATTATTTGCATCACAGCAGGATTCGCTGTTGGACGCTCTCACTGTACAGCGTCTTTAGAGAAAATACCTTTAAAATCTTTTATTTCAGGAAGACATCTATTGCATATATTATTTGTTTGAAAATCACTTTCTATTTAGAAAAAGAAAGATTAACAGATCATTTCACAATTAAGAGCATATTGATCTTTGGACAAACGCCAGCAGGGAGAAGTCCACAGTAACGGTGTATTTTCTTGGGATGCCTTTACCAATGCATAGTGCCCACTCCAAGGAATTCACTGTCGTAGCAGGGAAGGAGACAGGAGAGCAACGGCCCAGCAACTACTTGGCACCAAACGAGTCAGTCAACCAAAAGTTCCTCCTCTTCTTCTTTTTTTTTTTCCTCTTTAAGTACCGGCGATCGAACTTGGATCCTTGTGCTTGCGAGGCAGGTGGCAGAACCACTGAGCTAAATCCCTGGCCCTCCTCTTCTATGTTGCTTTCTGTCTCCTCCCCTTTTCTTCTTCTTCTTCTTTTTTTAACCTTGTATCTTAAATATCAGGATCCTTGTCACCTGTATAGGCACAGAAAATAAATAAATGTCCAGCGAGTAAGTATTTGGGGGGCAGTTAGCAACAAAAGCTTTGTTCTGTTTAGTGATAAACTCTTTGAAACAGCTTAATGTGATAATTAATTTAGTCCTGTGAATTCTGCTCTTATGATCTTTAAAGGGAAACCTGATGTTTGGCCTGCATATTTTCCTGTCCACAGGGATAGTGTGTGTTTTTAAACTTGTGGGACAAAGGTGCAGGTGTGGGTCATACTCAAATCACCCAAAAGTGTTAATTGGAAGACTTTAATGGCTATTCTGTAATAGTATGTGAAGAAGACAGAATTTATGTCTATCTACCCTTCGTTTTGTGCTTATTTGGTAGGGTTCTTGATGGAGTGGCATAACATCACAGAATATTAAGTTTAGTTCTCAAAGAATACATTTATCAAAAAGAAAGTCTAGGGCCAGGGATTTAGCTCAGCTGTTCAGTGGCCTGCCTTGCAAGCGCAAGGACCCAAGTTCAATCCCCGGTACCAAAAAAAAAAGAAAGTCTAAAAAAAAAGCTATTACTTACTTATCCTGTGTTATACTATCCAGATCCCTACATCCTTCTGTTAATCTCTCACTATTGTTAGTTTTTCTTCTTGTGAAATTCTGTCATCGTAGCATAAAATAATACTCTTTCACATTTTTTATACTTATGTTTAAATCAATGTGACAGCACTCATAGATTTTTCTTTTGTACCGAAGTACATACAACATATTGAAGGGATGAATGTTTACATCTTACAATTTTGAAACAAATGTAACTGCAGACCCATATCCATATTTATGACTTTTTTTTTTTTTTGAGACAGTCTTGCTATGTTGTTCAGGGGCTGACCTCAAACTCATGGCAATCATCTTGTCTTAGCCTCCTAGGTCCTGGGATTACTGGCATGCACCACCACGTATTTATAAATACGTATTTATAAATTTTTAAAGTAATTGAAAACCATTTTTAAGTATTTCATATGTAGGAGATGAAGAATGCTTTTATTAAATATAAAATGCTACATATAGAAAATGTGAAATGGACACACTTTGGCTGTCAGTGCAAATGCCACAAGAAGATAGACTTCGTAGTAGTGTAGCCTTTGTCGGTGGCACTCATTAATAAGTAATCGAATACTTTTGTGTCTCCCATCTCACTTTGAGGGAGATGTGGTATCCACATCTAGTTTTTCTATAAATCTGCTGTTCTGAATTTGGGTCAGAGACTTGGGGATAGAAAGAAGAAGAATATTTAATGCAGTGTGTGGCCCAAATACAAATACTGAGATCGTCCCGAACACATTTCAACAACAACAACAACAAAAAAGTAAGCCAAACTTATTGAAGATCCATTTAGATCTTTAGATTGTGTTCTTTAGAACACATCCGGTTCAACAGTGTAAGGGCCCTGAAATATTGGCTATGAGTTACTGTGGTAGCCATTAGTGTATGTAACCTTTTACTCGTAAGAGTCAAAAAAGTACTTAACCTTGTTTTCAGAATCTCTCTTATTTATTTTTGCCCACTAGAATATAAAAAGGGGTGTGTGTGCATCTGTTTACTTTCTGTCCAGAGGTTTATGTAAATGTGTGCACACATCTGTGTATTTTTCTCAGGGGCTTTCTTAATACACATTGTATCAAAGTGTGCAGTTCACATAAATAAACTCCAGAGAGAAATTCCAACAGCTCGTTTTTTTGTTGTTGCCACCCATTGTGTGTGCATTTGTATGTCAGTCTGTCTTTCTGATTCTGTGTTTCTCTCCTTCATAATTTATGAACCCCTCTGGGGCAGATGTCCTAAAACAACTGGATGATCATCAGGAGTTAGAACGAGTTGCTATGTCACACTTCTCCTTAGGAGTGACCCAGGAGCAGAAGAAAAAAGGAAAACAAAATCAGACTTTAGACACCACGCTCGGGTTAAAGGGCACCAATCTTCCCGGCTTGCATTCTGCCTAAAGGACAAGGCTTTCATTTGATAAAGATCATTAGTCACCGAGATATATATTTTAGAGAGTTCCCAGTAGCAACTATTCCGCTGGCAGTCACTGGAGTGTACCAGATGGTTCATTAGCATAGGCTAGACAAGTCAAAGGCTTTCAGAATCATTTAGAAAATGTCAAACAGAAACAAGAACCCTGTCACTTTTTATTAGAATTAACTACATCATACCCTGGACACAGATTTCACCTTGGGTCAGAAAAATTAATACAGAATTATATGAATTGTGTAATATATTGGGTTAAGATAGGTCTTTCTCTAGGGACTCATTTGCTGGCAATATATTATGATCCCTCTACTTTAAGAACCCTCAAACCTTTCCTTTTGTGAGATATGAAAAGAGTTGACCTTGCTCAAAACCCACCGGTGTCTAATTGATTTGAGGTATATGAAGAATTTCAACAAGATGTTCTTCTAACGCTCTTTTGTGATCCTTTTCCCAGGAAGCTCCTTGTGTTGGTCTCCCTGAATATTCAGCAGCACACAGAGTATGCTTTATGTCAAGAGGAAAATGTACCCACTAATTGAACACACTGTTTTATAAACAGGAATTAAAATGCTATTGAAACGTTGTTGCTATGTTTGTTTTTTAACTGCAGATGTCAAAAACCTGGAGAACTTCCAGCTGGTCGAAGGGGTCCAGGAACAAGTCAACACAGCCCTGCTAGACTACACACTTTGCAACTACCCACAGCAAGGAGACAAGTTTGGGCAGTTACTACTCAGACTACCGGAAATCCGGGCGATTAGCATGCAGGCTGAAGAATACCTCTACTACAAGCACCTGAATGGGGATGTGCCCTATAATAACCTTCTCATTGAAATGTTGCATGCAAAAAGAGCGTAAGGTTACAACCCCAGGAGCGCTGCCTTCAGAACAAAAAGAGACTGGGGTGGGGAGGGGAAGGACAGGAAGAGAAAAAAAAAAAATACTCTGACTGCTCCAAGCAACGCTAATTAAAAAAACTTGGTTTAAAGATACTGAATTTTAAAAAGCATAATAATCAAATACTTAAAATAACGAATAAATGATGTATCAGGGTATTTGTATTGCAAACTGTGAATCAAAAGCGTCACTACCCCCAAGGGTTCATATGAAAGACACTGTAAGGGCGTGGACTGAACTCACAGGTGGATTCCAACACTGTGTCAGAATAAAAAAAATGGACGGGACGATTATTGAATATTTAAGCTGATCTCCACTGTGAAGAAATTTAGGAACTAATCTGTGTTATTAATTAGGCTTGTTCAGTGCGGGGGCTGAGTTTACAGAATTCCTCCACGGTGAAGCTGAACCGAAACAGTTCTCAAGAATGTGTCAGCCGGACCTGTGACTGCTCCACCCTCTTCCTCTGAAGGCCCCCCCCCCACCTTCTGCCCTGTGACCGCGGAATCTGTCCTGAGGACTTGTGCTCAGACACGCCCAGTGGTAGCGCCACTAAATCATGAATTCTGAATGTCTGTGTCATAATAGACCTGCAAACAGCTATTAGGAACAGTCTATAAATACGTCAGCTTGCCATTTTAAATATGTCCCAGTTTGTTTTGTCAACGTGCTCATGATTGGAAAAAAAAAAAAAAAAGCAGGCAGTGTCCCTCTTCTATCATATATAAGTATTGATTAATATTAAGGGATATGACTACAAATTTTTTAAGTAAATACTCCATCACTAAAGCAAGTTAGATCTTATTTCTGCTACTGTTGCTGAAATGTGGCTTTGGCATTGTTGAATTTCATAAGAATTTCTAGCCAAAGGCTTAGTAGGACACATCTGTCTTTTTAATCGTCAAAGTTTGTATTCATTTAAAGATAAGATAGTAAACATTTTTTGCTGGGATGTCAAATAGTCACAGTTCTAAGCAGTTGAACATAAAAATTGAAGCGTGTAAAGCTATGCAAAGTGAAAAAACCGATGAGCCGATAAACTGACGACCCGAGGTTCATTCTAGTTGCAAATGAGAATCTCCTAAACTTGGAATGGAAACAGTGATTTTTTTTTTTTTTTTTACATGTAGCCTGGAAAGATAGCAAAGTCATTCAAATCCTTCCCAAAGGGGAAAGGAAGAGAGTGATACTGATCTAAGTCACCGGCCAGAGTCTGCTGCAGAACAAATATTGGAGGATAAAGAATTGCAAAATGAAGCTGGGTGTGGTGGCGCACGCCTGTAATCCTAGCACCTGGGAGGGCTGAGGCAGGAGGATCTCTGTGAGTTTGAGACCAGCCTGGACTACATACTGAGTTCCAGGTCAGTCTCAACTATATAGTGAGACCTTGTCTCAAAAAGCCAAAAAAACAAAACAAAACAAAACAAAACAAAACAAACAAAAAAAAGAATTGCAAAAAGAACTCTCTGAACAATGCTGTCAGTATTATTAACACGCAATGCCACAGGTATGAAAGTCTTGCCTTATTTCATGATTCTAAAAGGTAGCTGTGCAGATGTAGATCAACATTTGTTTAAAGTAAAGTATTAATACTTTAAAGTCAAAAAATATAGTGTTTACATTCTTTAGGTCCTGGGAGGGGTGGGGGGCTGTGATATTACAAAATAGCAAAAGCAGTGATTTCTTTAATGTTATTTTTCTGATTGGTAATTATTTTTAACAGTACTTAATTATTGTATGTCGTGAGACACTAAAATCAAAAACGGGAATCTCATCTAGACTTTAATTTTGTGAGATTATCAGCAGCACAATCACTTGTAGAAACTGTAAAAAATAAAAGTTATCTCCTAGCCCCTTAATTTTTTTCATAAATGTTTCTGGCTTTTGAATAGTTTATTTATATTGTATATCATAGTTTCAACTGTAGACAATTATGATGCTAATTTATTGTACCTCGGTTTCACCTTTGTATAAGAGATAGCCAAGACTGAAGAAACCAAATATATGTGTTTACTGTAGCATGTCTTCAAGTTAGTGGAACATAGTTCAGGGACATAAAGGGTCTTAATGAATTAAAATCATCCACTTGATTAAATGTCTGTAAAGCTTCATAATTATAATTCTTAACTGTAGCTTATTTAATATCGATTGTAAATTATGTGACTTGTAGCTTCGTCTGTTTTCAAGTAAATTTATCAAGGTGGAATCTTATCTGGTTTTCCTTTCAAGCATTGTAAGTTGTATACCAAAGATATTAGTTATTACTTCAGTGTGTCCAAAGAAGATTGTTTTGTTATTTTTGTTAAGCACCTCTGATGCTCGTCCACACGAAGGGTACACCCTAGCCAAGCTGGGCAAGGATTTGTGCCAGTCTTGGTCACCTGTTTTGTCTTCATGGCTCAAAGGGCAATGAAAACTCACTGATCGGAGCTTGGATCCAAAACATGAAGAGAATGGCAGCCGCACCGCTTCCCTTGGTTAAGGACCAAGCCGGCCAAAGGCAGGTGGAGAGGAATGGCGCAGCCAGGGGCTGACCAAAGGGCCCCCCTCGTGTGTGTGCAGCATGGGGGAGGCGATTTGGAGATGAGAGCACCTATTGGGAAGGTCTTTAACACCCCAAAAATGCCACGTGTGCATTCCTCAAAATCTGTGTTTTCTTACAATACTCCTCACTGCAATTAAAACTCGAAAATGTAAAACACTGCTATGTTGCTTGCCGGGTGGCCCACACGCCAGGAGTGCATCACAAGTCAGGCAGCCAAGTCACATCCATACGGCGGGCGAAAAGGAGGACAGAAGCTGAGAAGCAAGTCAGTGCTACAGCTGTCTGTGCCCCTTCCAAAGCTGGCCAGTGAATTTCTCTGATGTGAATCATTAACCTGTTTGTCATCAGACATTGACCCAGCCACCTGCCTTATCAAGCACAGGACTTACTAGAAAAAGCAGACTCGAACGTAAAGGTTTTTGGCTTAGCTTGGTTTGTGATAGTTGGTCTGCGTCTGTTAACAGACAAGCTGTAATGTCTGGATGTTTATATTGCATATGAAGCAGTGTTTAGAGCGTGAAGTCAGTGACACATTGACATTTTCTTACTGTATCAGTGAAATACATATTGTCACGTCAGTTCTTGCCAGGAATTTCTCAACAAAATGAAATTTTTTTTCAGTATTTCAATAAATATTGATATGCCCAGCCTGATAATTTTTTAAAGTTTTTTGTCCTTATTTTATTGGATGCTAAATGTTCTAAGTAATTAAATACTCAACTAGGAATGGAGTCAAAAGAATGCCTTAGGAGTAGACCCTTTCTCCTTTGTAAATGATCTCTGGCGTGAGCTGTTCTTCCCTGGATGCCTGAAGCACAACCAGAGCCTCATAGTTCTGTGCGTGAAAGAAGGAATTTGTCATTTACCGCTGTAATTTATTGGCAGAAAAGTCTTAACAGTTTCTAGTTTTTTTTTTCATTAACCAAATGGTGTCCTAATATCTAAATGCTGTGTTAACTCACTTGATCCTCAGAACTTCAGAAGGTATTATCTGCATCTTAAAGGTCTCTCCGTGAACCGGCGCACTAGTCAGGGAAAGAGCAGGGATTTGTTTTTTGGTGGTTTTTGTGTTGCTGGCGATCAAACCCAGGTCAGGGCCTCATGCATGGCAGGAAAGGACTCTGCCCTTGAACGGTGCCCACAGCCCAGGGGCAGGGGTTCATACCCCAGGGTCAGTGTTTCTAAACACCATCCCATCCTGTCTCCAAACCAGTATGACACCTCTGACTCACTTCAAAAGAAAAAGATACTAGAGAAAATCAGGCAACAGTTCACCATGCAATATGCAAATGTTTATCAAAGCCTTGGGAACATGGGCCAGGGATTTAGCTCAGTGGTACTGCCACCTGCCTGGCAAGCGCAAGGGCCTGAGTTCAATCCCCAGTACCAAAAAAACTTGGGAACATCAAAGCCTTTCTACTCTCAGTAAGAGATAGGATGACCATGTTCTAGAAAGTAGCCTTTTTCAGTACCGTGAAATCTTTGGAAAAGTTTATACCAATAAAGTCACTGTAGGATCCATTTTGGAAATCAATAAAACCTGTATTAAAAAGTATCGAAAAAAATAAATCACAGGAACCACAAAACACTCAAAGTTTACGAAACAATGAAGTCCAACCCTTTAGGGTCTTTCGGATCCTCTCTTCATAGTCTTATCCTGGGTTGAGACACACAAGGGGAATTAGCCCTTTACCAGGCTGACTGAGTTTTGTTCGGATCCTACAAAAAGAATCAGACCCAGAGCCCTGAGCTGAAGGACTAGCAGATCATGGAACTATTTTTAAGCAACTAAATAAGGGCCTATGAAACCCATCTTCGTTGTCAACTTTTAAAATTGTTCTGCTGATATGACACGAAATATGGAAACATAGTTCAAGTTCCACTGGACTGTAATTTTTTACATGCAGAGAACTGTAAAGTTTGATACATTTCTATATATATACTCAGGTAATCATCATGCAGGTCAAGCGAGGTGAAGAGCATAGACTTTTTTTAAAAAACTTTGTTAAAGTGGTTATATTTTCAGAAGAATTACTCGTGGAGAGTTCGTCCAAAGCCCGGCTCAGCTGCAGCAGAGGTCACAGTGCTGAGAGCAGAGGCCGGTGTCTTCTGCCACTTAGGATAATGGGCAGAAAGTCGCTAAATCCAACAGCAGAGAAACCAGAGAAAACTTGGCTCACTCTGATATAAATGTGACTGTTATATTTGATATTCAACACAACTTCAAGGAGGCTGGTACCTTTAACTAAGTTTGACGTTCAGTTTGAAGCCATCTCTGATGTATATTTTTATGAGAAACATGTGGAGACTTTGTTCAACGTAACACAGGTCAAACTGCTGCAACCCTTAGTGATCTTGACATTTCCCTGGAATAATAAAGACCAATTTTCCGTAACACTGAACAGGAAGTGTATAGTTTAGCCACTCAAAATAAATATGCTTGCAATACTTTAACCATTTCACAAAGGCATTTGTTTTATGTTAAGTGAGGAATTAATAACTTAGTGACTGGTGTCAGGCTGTGATTGTGGTTTTGTTTGTAGAAAAGCTTTGCATGTTTGTTGCTAGGATAGGGCAGAAGGGGCTGTAATTCAACTAATTGCTGAGTATCCCTGAAGTGAGTTGAAAACCAAACTATGGGGAAACAACGGAGTCAGACAGGGCCAGGCCTGCTACTCTGCGCTCCAGAGGAGCCAAAGCCAGCACACATCAGACCTAAGGCCGCACTGGGAGGTTTGGGACACCTCCAGGCAGTTCCCGGGAGCACCAGGTCAGATCTGAGAGTCTAATTAGGCCCTGTCGGTCAGAAAGAGCCAAGGAGAGACGTGGTGACGCATGGCTTTGGGATTAGTGTCTTAACTCTTCAGCTTGACAGTTACCACTCACAGGTCCAATGGCAGCGCCTGTCCTCCGTGGCCTGGGTCACCTGCAACCCAAAGTGGCAAAGCTCCCCTCAATCACCAGCCAACGCTGGCCTGTGATGCTGGAGTGGGTTCCCTGCCTGACAGCCTCAAGGACAATCCTCTGACCATGGGAAAATCCCGACGTGGCATCCGGGTGTCTCTTGACACAGCCTCTGCCTGCCTTCCCACACCCGCTGTGCACTGTCCACGCTGATGCCTTCCTTCTGGGGCAGAGGACGCTCTTTCCCGCCTCTGAGCGTCCACGCATGTTGGTCCCCAGCAGCTGGCAAACCGTCAACCACACTCAGAGCCCCCCTTGGCCCAGTACAGCCTCCTGGGCCTCATCCTGCTCACTTCCCAGGTCCCCACTAAACAGCACGAGGACAGACAAGGTGAAGCAGCAGGTGCTTCCAAGTCCCGACCCTGCACACAGTGGCACAGGAATGAAAGGTCCCGACTGCTCCTCGTGTTGGCCAACTCTCCACCACTTAAAGACCCGAGATAATTAACTTATAAAGAGAAAAGGGTGACTTTGGGCTACAGTTTCATTATACTCCATGGACCCCGTTGTTTTTGGTGCTGGAAAGGAAGCACAAGGTGGCAGAAGCTCTTGGCAATGCCAAACCACACCACAGCCCACAGGCAGCAGAGAAAGAGCAGCAGGCTGGAGTCCCTCAGTCTCCTTCAGGGACACAGCATCTAGGGACCTCGCATAAGGCCCCGTCCCCTCCCCTAGGCCCCTGCTGGAGTCCAAGGCTTTGACACATGGGCTTTGGGGGACTTCAAGATCTAAAGCGTCACACTCCCCATTTGTCTCTTGACTTTGACCATGGGAGCCACGGTAGAGCCCAGACTGGAATAATCTAGT